ATAAATATTTCTACATATTATTCTACGAAATTTCCATTCATTTCGTATTCGTTATAATTTCAACTCACTTTTATGGAAAATATCAATTCAATTCTCGCTCAATCAACTCATTCCAACAGCATCGTTTAATCAATGCGAATGCTGTACCGAACAAAACTAATCAAGAAGTTTATACTGAAACTTCTTAGAATTGTTAGTTCGACTACTTAATCAAATTCGATTCATAAAACCCGCTCCAAAGCATTTTCTGTTTCACACGAAACAGTGAGAAATGATTGAAAGAAAATCGCTCAGTGTAAGCTTCTGATATCCATTCATCGCTTAATCGACAATATAAGTTGAGTTGGTCCATAATTTACTCAGAATCAAAGATTCAATTTACTCGCAGAAGAAAGACCGGATACTGCAAATTGGAAACTGGAAATCAGGGAGTTACTCAGAATTAATAATGGTGGAATTGAAGTTGAATTATTGCATTTCATTATGTTTGGTATTAGGACTTGAAACAAGCGGAAGTGTATATATATATATATATATATAGTCTCAAAGACTCTTTGATAGTATATTTGTGAAAATTCATGAAAGTTCATCAAAATTATAAAAATAACATATTGTTTGCCTTATTTCAGTTCATCTGAAGAGTCAGGCAACTGGGAGTTTCACAGAAGTATGGCAAAGCGGAAGTCCTGGAATATATCAAGCTGCACAAGAATTCATAGGATTCTCTCAGGAATACTGACCGCTGAAAGTTTTTTGATAGAAAATTATTTTCTGGGAATTTGACTCCTGACAACAGTCGACTTTCTCTTTTTGATGGCGCCAAGCATCCAAAGATGAATGACAGGGAAGTATCTGAGTAACCTAATGCAACACCGGCAGCTGAATGGGTGCATGATCAAATCATTTCAGCCTTTCAAATCTCCCACAGAGAATGGTATATTTCCAGATCCGAACGATGTTATATTCAGCTAGGGTGAGCCTCAAAGACCTACTCTCCAAAACAGTATCAATTTCCTACTGAAAGAATACTGGATCGACATGTGAGGTGGGTCACCTTATGAGCATCCTTATAGATTCCTGAACAATAAAGTGATTGCGATGCTCTTTCAGGAGCATTTGATGTACCTACTTCAAATAATTGGATCAGCATTGTTTGGAAGAAGTTCAGAATCGACCTCTTTTAGCTCTCCAGGAGTTGCTCTCAGGATGGAGTTCAAATCTTTTTTTGTGTTCAATTCAGATAGACGGTTCATTGAATGCCTTTGTCATACTGGCAAGAAACAAATCAGAAAATGTTGCTTGTGATATCTGTCAACAAATGTTGAACGATGTTCATAGTTGTTGCCAGAGGAAGTGAAATGATTTATAGTGTTTACGTTATTCCTACTTTCTCGATACGTTCATCTTCATCGATGATCTAATCTACAAAAAATAATGAAATAATATCGCACTGATACAATTCACTGTTGGATTTTAGCTATAAAAATTCTACGTGAATCGCGACCCGTATTTTGCTTGCAATAGCTTCCTCACTTTTGTTTGAGGAATGGATTAATTGAAAGTTTACTTTGCGAGTCTTCAGTGTTATTCAGGATGAATTACTGTGATGTCTTCCACGCTTTTTATATGCATTCCATTGATATCGAACGAATTCAAAAGCTAAAAAAATAGTTTTTGAGATCAACCTCTGATATCAGAAAATCTAACAAGATTTTGTCCACTACAAACAAACAATTGCTCGTATAATCGATCGTACAATCTATCTAGGGTTCAGCTTCCTTTTTTTATGAATACCCAACCCCTCCTTATTTTTATAATAAAATAAACTATCTGATGTACGTAACATTAACATTCAACAGGAAAGGTTACTTTCTGAAGAGTTCCATATAAAATTCAACAAAAGGTGATTATGTCAGCACATTGTCAAATATATGTATGAAATACTACTAGAATTGAAAAAACTCTCGACTTTTCTAGCGCGTATCAAATTTCTGGATATATTATGATTCATATAAAATATTTCATTAACTTTCCTCCATCTCCAGTACAGTCTGCGAAATATTAATTAACCATTAGCAATGTTATATCGCTTGAAGTTGCACTATTTATTTCTTTCCTTTATTGATCATGAAAAAATATTCACAATTTTTTTATCTCCTATCCGATCAGAGATTTATCAATTGATCTATTGAAAATTTTTGCATATATTGAAACGAAAGTGCATTTCAGAATAATTAAAGTGTTTTTTGTTATTTTGTCTTGACAGTGAGTAGGTGGAAGAACAAATAGCAATCTCTACCTTCCGATGCCGATCACCATCAGTGAATCTCTCTCAGTTATATGATACGTAGGTGAAAATGAAACAGAAGATTAATAGGAAACTTTATCAATAATATTATCAATAATATAATTTGTCTTTCTTCTGTAGATATTTTCACGGGAAGTGTTCAAGTGACTTTTTACATTTGATTCGACCAAGAGGGATACATATCAGAAATACGCGACGGACTGTGTCTGCTCATCGCTTTGAGGTTCAACTCAGTACACCTCGAACTTCACTGTTCGAAAACTCTTTCATATGTAGAACGGCGTTTATATGGAATAAACTTCCTGAGAACGTTATTCGAAATGGATTTAATCTCAACTAAAGCGAGTCAAATCCAATGTCAATTTCTACTTTCGCACAGGCACCGCTCCAAAAGCACCTTAAGGATTTTCCTGTAGTGCTTGTGTTTTGTCCTTAAAAAAATGAATTCGTCCGAAAAGTGGGTCAGGCCCTGTATCCGAAGCTTCGAACCATTCAGAGGCCGTATCAGCTCGTTAACTAACGGGCACATTCCAGAATCGTGAAGTGACCTCATTGGTTCCAAAAATCGTGTGCCCTGAGCAGACGTAGAGAACCGAGAATTTTCGCCTTTTGCATTTGCCCGGCTAGGATTTCTGTCATTCTGAGGCAAACAAGTATTATTATGAGATTAGAGAGTTGTTGAAGCATCATTCCACCTAGGACGCCTATAATTAGAACAAACATTTCAACAAAGTGGTCTGCGGAATTCTAATCGTGAATCTCTTCACTACATTAATTTTTCTTCCTCTTTTTGAACAATATTTTTTTTGCCTGAAGCAGAAAATTCCACAATGAATATCGTTTCACTTTGATGCTCGAGTAGGAATACATCAGGCTTATTAACTTGTATCTTCCTGATGGTTTGGAATGGGAAAAGTCAATAAATTTGGCATATATTATTCTTCACAAAGGAGTTAATACCCTCTGGAGCATAGGGAAACATCGGTATCTCGTAAATGCTGTAGGAGTGTTAAAGGTGGTTATGAAACACTCTTAGTTCTGGACTTCAGCGCAGAAAGTAAAAATCAGATGCTGGGATGCTTTAATAAGCCGAAGCCTTTTATGTTGGTGAAGAAAACCCAGAAGCAGCAGAAATAAAGTGATCTCTGTGGATTCAACGTGGGTTGAACGGTTTCTAACTCGGTGACTGAGAGGTCGCTCAGGCAGCTGCCTTGAAAAAATCTTCAAATAAATTGATGGTTGTAGCCGTTACTACGTGGTAGAAGATCATCATGAAAATAAGGAATAATACTTTCTATAATACTTTTACCACTTTCATTTGTAACTAACGTTACGGCAGTTTCGTCTTATGAGGATATACAAATGAGGATAATACAATAACGTTTATTGTAATAGTTTGAAAATGTTCTCTTACATAGAAAGTATTTCCACTTTCATTTGTCACTAACGTAACTGCAGTTTCGTCCTGTGGGGACATTTTCAAACTAAAACAGTAAACTTGATTGTTTCAGTTTGAAAATGTCCTTATAGGACGAAACTGCAGTAACGTTGATTACAAATAAAAGTGGTAAAAAACAAATACAGTATTATTTTTCATTTTTCTCCAATTACTACTCTATCATGGTCGTAGACTATGTAGGTCGTGGACAGTGTAGGTAGTGGACGTAAACTCCTGATCACTCAACAGGCTCCATCTAGTGTCATGTAGACACTTCAAATTCAAAAGTCCACGGTCGATCTGTTGTTGGAGGACGTATAAACGTGGAACAGACGATTGGGATCCAAACTCATTATTATTATTCACTGAAAGTTGAACTGGTCGGATCAGTTACCTTACACCGTAGGGTCCTACTATCATGTGCCCTAAGCAAACGCGATGAGTCAAGAATGACCGCTTTTTGTATTTGTTCAGCCAAGTTACCTGCCTTAGTGCGGCAAGCCGGCATGATCTTGATATTATAATATTGTTACATTCTTGTTGTATATGAAAATAGTTTCGGTAAGATCTACTGAAAATTTAATCAGAAAAGAGCATAATATGTGGGAACAAATTCTATGACAATCTTAAAACTATTGCGAATCATATTGTCTGACCAAAATAAGGAGGACTAGCATAGGAAACTTGAAACCTTCAGAGATATAAAGTCATTCGAATCAGGAAAAGGTAGTCATTCAAAACCTTATTTAAATGATGTTTCAAATTTCAGAAAGTTTCGATTAATTCTGGAGATTCGAAATGAACCTGAATTCTATAAGTTTGTTTTAATTTTTCCCCCTTGAGGAGATATTGAAAAAAAATTACACTTTCTTATTGTCACTTTTCATGCTGTATAAACTGGCTTTCACTGATTTTTATTCCGAACATTTATTTCCAAGAAACTATCACCAATTTTACTTTCTCATGTGTATCGGAAAAAATCAGAACCCGTTATAAGTTAGCTTCGTTGGCGACAACTCCACTGATGTATCACACTTTATCGAAATTTCTTAAATTTTATGAGGTAAAATAATTCAAACGACTTCCTTTATCTGGTTTACTATTTTCCTATACTGGCCACTATCTGTTAAAATCTGTTAACAGATAGCTGTCGCCCCTCTACGAACGACAACTCTCAGAAGTCGAAACTTGTGCGAGCAAGGGATTAACGTGCGATTCCTAGCATAATATATATATAAAAAATTTCACACTTACCTATGCATTCTTGGCGATCTGACGACTCTGCATGATCAGCAATACATGTGCAAGCTCCTTTTACACAATGACTATATAAAATTGAACAATCTGAGTTATCTGAACACAGATCACCCAACAAAGCTGTAACTACACGTACTGTGGCTGGTGTTGGACGGTATGCTGAAGCGAATTCACCACCTAGATAGATACATAATGCTGTAACATATTTTGTCCTTCATTATGAGTTATTATGAAACTGAGATTGATCCATCATACCCGTCTTCCTAAGATTTTCATAAAAATTAATGGTCCAGTGGCGGAAAAATGTGGTAAGCTCGCATAGAGCTAAAATTTAGCACAGGTTCTGAATACACTGTTGAAAGTATTTACCGATATCAAATATTACCGATCTCATATATGGTGAATATTCATTGGGGGTCGAAAGTTTCACTGTATAAATATATCAAAAAAAAGTTGTAGATCATGCAATTATCCACAAATTTCATTAAAATTTTTTTTCTGAAATATCGTCATTTCAAATGAAAATAATAACATTGATTGAGATGTCATTGATGAGAGAATATTACCTAATACTGCAGAACAACGACATCAGGCTACAGATAGATTTTAATCCTCTGCGAAAAATTCACAACTGCGTACATTTAAGTGAAACTAGATCATTATGACGACGGTGTTCTTGTTTGAAAGAGCAAGAGATCAATACAATGGAATAGAAACAGCTATCATTGTTGATGTAGGTGTTGATTTGTTGAACTGCACAAAGTCCAGTTGATAGGATCATTCCATTTTTCGAAACTTGTCAAAGCTCAAGTGCAAAATATATTCAGGAAGTTTTTCTGCATATCCAAAATAACGAGATCGTATTTCATTATGCTATGTAATAATCGAATGAGCTGTTAGTTGTTCCAATACTTGAAAAATGCGCATCTGAACTTGCACCAGTTTTCTGTAAGCTCGTCTTACAATAACGGGGGTTATCTTCTTGTTGGAAAACTACTTTGGTGGCATACACCCAAAAAGGCCAAGAAAAATCTTCCAAAAGAACTTAGATCAGTTGCTTTGATATCAGTTACATCGAAAAATGTTGGAAAAAGCTGTTTATCAGCATATTCTCAAATATTTCAAATGCTTCAATATCTTGATCGATCACCAATATGGTTTCCTGAAGCAGTGATCAACAGGAAACCTTTTTCGTATGTTGCCCATACTTGAAACGAAGCAATCGAGAACCACGAAGAGTATTAGGCTTTCGCGCTCAATATTTACTAATTGAACTTCGATGTTCCAACTTGTCACTCCGTCTTTATTCGTGTCTGTAAAGTTTTCTGAAAGACTGTTCTTTACAAGAAGCCATGGAAGGGTCGATACTTTCCCTTTTATAATTCAACAATCTATTTTTAAAAGACCACAACATCTCTTTTTTTTTACAATTGGATGCCAAAACATCGGCTGACAATGCACATCTTCGGCAAAAACGGGAGGTTTCCGAATGAAGATCAGAAACAATTTTCAGTTCGGGGTGACTTAAATCAAGAAAAATTCAATGCTACAAAAAACCAATCATCAGTGTTTTTAAAGGAGGTGAATGTGGTGGAACCAGACATCATAATATAAGGACACACAATTTCGTTAGTTGCGTCGATTAATTTGTTGGCTGTCATATATCTTGGCATAGTCACGTAGCTAATAAAGCGAATCCAGCTTTTCAGAAACTTGATACTCTCATAAGAACGAGCAAATTTCAATTCTATTTGAAAAAGAAAGATAAGATCCGTCTGGCTGTAAAATCTAATATTACAAGCAATCTTGATAGCTTGGAACATAGGTTGGGATTCTATTCCTTTCCTATAGTACATGCCAGCTTTTCAAGAATACTCCCATTGGCGAATTAACTTCTAGAGACGGTTTTTCCAAATGAATATTTGAATCGAACGTACTATGCAAAGCTTGTGCGTATTCATAAAAAAAGTAAACGTAAGATAAACAGTATTATTTTTTTAATTTCTGATATTTTTTTTCGTAATAGGGTATATGATTCCTGTGCTAAATTTCAGTTCTATCCGAGTTATTGTTAATTGACTTTTCAACTGGGCTACAAATAGAATAATAGATATTGACGTTCAAGTGATGTGCAATGGATATATGTTCTATTAGAGGTTTTTTATGTACCACATCTGATTTATATTTTAATAATCTCACAATAATATCAATTGGATATTCATGATTCAACAAACTGTATATCCAGAAATTTTATTTCAGAAATATTCATGAAATATCATTTTATGGTATTCGTAAAATACTAAACTATAATATATATAATTGGGAAATATGCGTTATGTCTGGCAGTGGATTCATGTAAGCTGTTCATCGCAAATGCTTTATGTGAATCATTCCAGTTGATTTTATTATCTTATTCCAAAAGTCGAATTGCGGTTTTTTTTAATGATATTGATTAACTTTGTCAAAAAAGAATACTTTTATGAACAGTCGGGAAGGAAATTCATTAGCAGATTTGTCGAGGAAAACAGTGCTTTCCCCTGGCATAGAACAAATGGTGACCCTCAAATTTCGTGAGTTAGTTTTCGATGGTCGACAGAAAAATTAACAAAAGTTATAAATGGGTTGATAATTTTGCAGTCTATATTCCACGACAAGAGATTACAAACCATAATTGTTACAGAAAGACTTGAATTTTGTAGTTTATGAAAACTGATGTTTTTCCTCAAATTTCACGTGTATGAAAGACTTGCTTACGTTTTATTTTCTAGATATATCAACACATATTGAAAAATGATATTTTTTCATACCAATGCCTGACTGAATGGGCAATGAGAAAAACATGGAAATTTGTGTTGTCAAATTATTCGTAGAAGCTCTTGAAACGGGAATAGAATAGAACAATTCAGTATCGAAAAATTGATATGAATTTCTGAAAAAAAAGTTAACAGAATATGTATTAGTCTAAAGAAAAATATTAACAAATCAGTAAATCTTTGGCAACCAAGCATATGCATTCTCATTGATGTTGACATTGTCGTTCGTCCCAAAATTTTGAGTAAAATATTCAATCTAGGTTTCGGAAGAATTATACAAGACCTGATATTATCTTATCTGAGCGACAGGAAATCATTCATGAAATACGGTAATCTGAAAGGGACAGTTCTGATACCCAACCTCTTTCCTTAAACATTTTTGAATTACATTTCAAGATTGTGGAATTGAGCTCTGCTTGTTGAGAAATAAGTTATAAAAAATCAGTTTTCGAAAAACCTTGAAGGTCAATCGAAAATTATCTTCTCCTCGAATAATGTACCTTTTTTGTTGTTGATACGTTGAACCACACTGTTCTGAACCACAAATGGACTCACCCGTCCTCAAAAATGAAGCATAGTTAACGAAGGCGATAGATAATATCTCCTCGTACGAAAACTTCCTCTATATGATCGATAGAAGACTCATCCCACAAAGTTGACATACAAAGGAGTCTCCCCGAAGCGGTCTGTTGCAAAATTTAGATTCGTTCTCTGTCGTTAACTGCAGCTTTCACTGCACGACAAATGGATGAAATCAAATTCCAAAAACAAGGCTACCTTGATCCAATACCATAGAGCGCTGTTTTGACCGGCGATGGGCCTTATCAGTGGTGTTATGCTGAACCACGAATGCATTGCTGGGCTCAACTGTCCTTGAAGTACAAAACTTAATAAATAAAGGCAGCAATATCATACTTTACGAAGACGCTATCTATCGGATCGACAGAAGACTCAATTCACGAGTATCAAAGATGATCGAGACTTTCAAAAGCAGTCAGTTGCAAAGCCAAGCCTCGACATCGATCACCGAACGATATTTGTCCTTTGCATTCCACTGCAGCCTTCACTGCAGGGAAACTAGATGAAACCAGAACAAATAAACAAAGCATTAGGCAGCGCTGTTTCGAATTGTCTAGTTCTCATTAATATCAGTTCAGTCTAGCGCTGCTGATGAGAACCATGATAGGTACAAAGAGCCGCTGTCTTTTGTTGGATCACGAATGCTCTGTCTGGTTTCAACTAGTTGCCTTGCAGTGGAAGCTGCGATGCAAGACATCTCATTCGGCGGTTGTTGTCGAAGCTTAATTTGTATTTGACCACCTTGGGAAGCCTCGTTTATGTTTGGCATTCGTGAATCGATCTTTTGTCAACCCCAATGATGACGTCTTTGTAAGGGGAGACACCACCCTTGTCCTTTAAGAGCAGTTGAGTCCAGCAAAGTATCCTTGGATAAGCTTTGCACCTCTGAAGACACCTATGGCGCGTCGAAATATTACTGTCCGCTATTAGATCACGAACGCTTTGTCTTTGGGCTCTAGTTTCATCAATAAATATATCATCAGTCCAGTAGATACAAACGGTCTATACTTAATCCGAATTGAAAACGAATAACTGGCTGTGCCAGATAAATGATAAAGAGGAATCAGGCATATAATTATGGTTGAATTTTTTTATTGGTAGATAAAAATGGTTGGTGCTTTTTCAGAGAAGGTCCGAAACAGATAAACTACAGAATAAATCAAAAAAGTAAGTATTATTCATCCTTACAGGTGAGTCGAGCAATCATTCAAAATAGTAACCCAGACTCTACTATTTTGCAGTTTACATAAAATAATTTAAAAAATCTGTTTAAAATTAGTTTCTCAGTTAACCAGATGTCGCACCCCTACGAACGACAACCTTCAGAAGTCGAAACTTGTTCGGCTAACGACTAACGAGGTCTTACCTTCTAACGTATGATTCCTAACATGGGTTGGACGATAGCAAGTGAAAATCGATCGTTCAGCCTCCATCGACCATCACGGCGGTCGATTTGAGTGAGTGAACAAAGCACCCACGTCGAACCGACCAGCTACCGACCCACAATGCTTATCATTATGTGGCAAAAACTTCCTGTTCACACATCCTACATAGGATGTGTGATGAAACTGTTAGGCATGTCCTATGCGAATGTCCGGAGTTATCGTCTATAAGAGAGTGTGTGTTCGGCGAGTCTTGACCTACACCTGGAAAGGACATCCTGTCCTGGAAAGGACAGGATGGACGATGACCTAGAAGGACAACTCTTTGGGAGGATGTATAATGGGTCACATGTGGCCTAAATGCTGTGGACCTACACTCACCCTCCCTACTGTACAGATACAC